TTTAATCCTAATTAACTAATTTAAATATTTTATATCCTAAATTTATTAATATTTCAAAAATAAATTGAGAAACCAAATTGCTGCATGTCCGATGTATTAAAAATTATTTTAAAATTTTAATGTTTCTCAATTATACGGACTACACTTTTATTTTTCAATTTTGAATTTTGAATTTTAAATATAGTTGAATATATTGTTTTAGAAAAATATTTGATATTATTACATATTGTTATAGAAGTAAAAACAAATTTTACAGTATTACTAATGAAAAAAATAATACAAAATAACATCATCATATAACATCCATTTTAGTAATTGTATAACAACAACAATAAATTACTTTTTTTTGTTAAACTGTAAAATGATGATTTTGGAAATTTTAGCAATTTTTAACAAAAGTTTATCAAACACTTAATTGATTGTTTCCACGATTAATTTTTTTTCAACACAGCAGAAGTGAATTCTTTTAAAGGAAAGGCAATACCTAATCAAGCCTAAATCCTATACATTATAATTGTTGAATGGTGTCTACGACCCCTACAAGTTACATATTAAATTCATTTACGTCGTCGTTGATTTTTTATGGTAACATGGTTATTGAACTCCCTTTGTGTGCTATAAAAACAAGCTGTAAGAAGCCCCCAGGGCACATCTCCAAGTGATAAAAGAGGAGGATGGAGAAATCCAACTTTGCTTGAGGCTGCTACGTCAAGGGTTCGAATCCTGAAATATGGATTTGGCTCTTGAGTAAGTGCAAGTGTACAAGCAGCCTTCCACCCTAGACCCTTGGAGGTATAACCTGCGATTTACCTCTCTCACGATATTCCAGGACAGGGATGGTGGGGGACCCTTAAGGTTAGGGTTTAACCCTTTTTAAAACAAGCTGTAAGAAACAATGAAATGCTATGGAAACCATTGCCTGATAAATGTTCGTACTCATAAAATTGGTTTTTGAGGGAACAATGAAATCGGACTGATTTTCCTTTCTTGTTAGTCCCAATAACTTGATTTTCACTTCATTGCTGGTACTTAGCAGCTTCCCTACTTGAGACTCCGCTTCATATTATTGATTCCCTGTCACCTTCCAGGGGTTGGTCCTCTGCTACAAAACGTCGCAACAGCTTAAATATATGCCATATGCTGAAAAGTTGTTAGAAACTAATAGTCATTACAGTCTTTGAAGTTCCCTTTCATGAATACCCTACTTCAAATGTAAATGGTAATTTCTTCTTACGTCTTTCATACCGAGGTTGCCTTCTGCAAGGTTGTGTTGGAAAAATAATCAATTGCAATAACGTTGAGAACAATAAAATACAGAAATATAAAACTTATCGTCCGATCGAATCTCGTGACGGCACGATTTCCTAAAGTGAAATTGCTCGTCGATAACTACTGCAACCTCTATGGACAATCACTCCCAGAATACAACGATCATAAACCATTTGTGCAACAATCACGAATGATTTTCAGAACTCTCAAAACTACTCCAGAATTTATGTAAAAATCGAGTATAAAAAAAATTCAGAATATGAGAAATAAGATTTATTTTCAAACGATTTTCTGTTTTCTTTGATGTGTCTCTTTCCCAAACCAAGACATGAGTTTATATAGGCAAAATTGGAAGTAACTGTCTCCCTCATAACCAGAGAATAATGCAGAATTTTAATAAATGAGTAGTAGATATTTTAAAGGCTGTGAGTACCGGGTTGTTACAAAAAATGGTCAGAAAATACTAGCTAATTTGACCCATTAAATAATTTTCAAAATAAATAAAATAAAATAAAAATTATTTTAGTCAATGAAGCTCAAAGCTTCAATCAAGACTTTAATAATTGCGTGGAAAGTAACCCGCATCCCTGACGTCCCACACAAATGACACATTTTCCAACACTTGAGCACTTCATTTAATTTGATTATTTCTTTCACATTTTATATTTATATTATAAATATATAACAGGTTCTTGATCATTGTTTAAGATCTAATTGTATTTTAAATACCATCTGTACATTTCAATCGCATTTTTTTGAAGCTTCCTCTATTTCTTGATCTTTTAATTTGATTCTTGTTTGCTGAAAAGTGACAATTTTTCTGTCATATTCATGATCTTGAACTTTTCCTTTCTCAGTCTACATCTATTGTGTAACAGTGTTTTGTTATGGGAATAAAGAGAGAGCATTGTTTTGTGATTGATATCGATAACCCTGTCAACTTAAAAAGAAGTACAAGAAACTGAGAAAGAATATGGAAAAGAGAGTGTTCGTGTTATCTCATGCTGATTTATGTCTTCATATGGAATTTCTTGTATCCTTTGTTGCGTGTTGTCATACTTGGTCAATCCACCTGGACCAATGGCCCACTCAGGTCGAATCACGTGACACTCCAGCCGAGATGGCATATATTGTCGAGGTGGGCAATGACCGAAGCCCTTCAAGCCGAAGTCCACTAGCCGATGCGCCTTTTTACCGAGGCCTGTGAACGTACCCGAGGTCCACATGTCGAGGCCCATGAACCGAAGCCATGATGCTAAAGCTAGTTGAAGATAGTTGAAGCCCTCAAGCGAAAGTATTGTGTGAAATGGCCGAAGCCCCGAAGCTGATGCAAGAGCCTCCGAACCACAAAGGAGTGTCCTCCATGTTCACTTCTCCCAAGAGATCGTCTGCATAAAGATCTTATTCGAATGATTGATGAAACGTTTGTCATAAGTATAAAGGTCAAGTCTTGTCACTAGTATGGGGGCTATACACAAGCAATAAATGCCCTGCAAACTAGCAAGTCAAACCTCATGCCTGATAAGATGTTTAAATGAAAGAGATGAGGCCACGTGCCACCTCATCGAAGGGCTCTCATTTCACATATACCACTATAAATACTTCTCTTATGTAACATTAAAAGGCTAATGTAAGAATCAATACAAAGAACTACACTTTACTGAACTCTCTCTCATTTACTTGCAATACACAAATCGAGTTTATACACATTTACATATACATTTACGAACACCGGTTGGTAATTATTGTACAATCGAATCACGAACAACCCGCCGGATTCCGATCGTCACCGTCCCGCGTCGTTGGGCTACTCCCACGCCCTTTGAACCGCTCGTTTTAGACCGTCCACGTGTCTTAACGTGTTGGACATTCGTCCACGTGTGCGCGGGTGGGACCGACATCTATTGACAACACTTTTTGGGGTAAACATCCTTCATCTTGACATGCTGAATCTGTGAATCACCTTTCTCTGAGTCTTTCTCCAACAGCCACAGCCTTGGAGGTAAAATTAACTGTCTTAGCTTTCGCACTCTCATTTATGCAGGGAACTATGAGAATAATAAATCATATCATGCTTTGATTAATTTTATTTCTAACAAATATTCAGTTTGCGGATTTGTTCTTCAGTGTCTGAGAATCAGGAAAAGTTACTTTGTTTTTCTTGGCATTTAACAACGTGTACAGCTCAAATATATGGATGCAAAGCTCTAGAACAATTACATGTAATTGAATATCTTCACAGCCATTGGTCTTATCCAGACAATTGGATAGAATGTTATTAGATTATTGTTGGAAATGGTGTTTATTAATAAACCAATTCAAAAATGAATGAGAAATTGTGGTTTTGGAATAGTGGCACCTGTTTGGAAGGTTGCATGGTTTGGCTCAAATCCTTTCATCACACCACTCCATTCTCTATATAAATGACCCCTTGGATGACTTTGAGAGTACACCATTTGCATATTGAGCATTCATTCTTCTCAAAATTGCAATTCTCTTCTTCTTCATCTCTTTTCATATATTATATTCCTTGTAGAGGGGAAACTCCGTCGAAAGTTCGCCGGATTTGTGGTTTGAAGTGCTACTACCACAAATCGAATCCGTTGTATCTTGGGAGACAATTGCCGCCAACCGTGAGTACTGTAGCGGGGCAATATTGTCTTAAGGAGAGAGTAAATATACTTGCCTCGGATTTAATCTTCGTTTTCTACTCCTTCTTATTTTAATTTTCTTATTTGGTTTTATGGTTTTGTACTACATTTCCATTTCATAAATTTTTTATTTAAAATGCACTCACAAACAACCATCTTTACCGCTCACAATTAAGCCCGGCACCAACAATCTTAAGACAATAATTTATCAATGGTTGTTTGGCGTTCTAATCAAGTTTTGTTTGTTGTGCAGTTTATATTTTAGTTCTTGTTGGAATATGATTCTAGAAAATCAGTGTGTTGGTTTCTCTATTGCCGATGGAAGACCATGATGAAACTATAAGACCACTTTAAGAAATCACTTTGGCGATGATCAAGTTGATGGATCAAGATTTGTTTATGAGGATCAATTTTTGGATGAAATTCTGCCAAAAGAAATCTGGAACGTGTTCGAAGGAAAATGTCTCCATTGAAGAATGGTAAGGATTGAATCCCATTTGGTAAGTTTGAATCCCATTTGGTAAGTCGAAATTGCTTTTCAATTTCAATAAGTCGAAATTATGCTTCGATGAAGTTTGGTGCATTTTATATTGCATACTATTAATTCTTGTGCATATTCTGCCATAATGTATGAGACGTATGCAATAACAAATTGAGATAATGCAAAACTCGATTCTTCGGTGGACGATTTATGAACGTGTCTATTGAATTATGGGAAGATTATTTTCTTAGACACTTGAATTGAATTATTGAATCGGTGCCAACAGTTTAATTTTCATTCATGAAAATCTGATTATGCTTAAATAATTGAATGTGTAAAAACGGCTTCTATGTGCATTACATATGCTTGACATTCAGGAAATTATGCAAATTATATCTGGGTTGTGCACTCATATCAATTGAATATATTATATAATTGTATGTGCCGAAATTACAAAGCATATGTTGGTAGTTTCATTTGCCGAATTTGTTGATGGCAATTTTTAAACCAAAAGGATTTATCTACATTTAAAACTTTTGACACCTTTTAATACAATGAGTATTTTGTGTCATAAATTGCCTGAAGAATTTTGATTGGAAAGAAAAAATGTGAAGCGGTGCATACATTAAATTCCAATAGAATGTATTCCGTTTCTTGCATGTGCGTGCATTCGAAACGTCCCCAAACTTTGATGATTGGCAGTTTAATCTTGGCACCTTTTTAATTCACATAATAATGTTTGGGGATGAAGGTTCTATGATAATAAGGTTGGTATAATCTCATCAACGATTTAAAATTAAATGAAGAATTGCGTTGAGGCAGTTTCTCAAAATCTAAGATAGTATGAACCTATCGAAAAACTGTCTGACACTTTCTTTTGGTCTGATATGCCGCCTACTGTACATTAAAATTCATAATCAGTCCAGAATAAATTTGAAAATTGCATTGATTAAATGGTATCTCTGAAATCTGATTTCTTAGGACATATTTGATTGCATATATCCAAAAATTGTGCACCTTATCATGGAAATTATGAAATCTGGAAAAGGGCATGAATTCTTTATCTTCATGTCATTTGGTGTAAAACAAATTATTCATTTCTGAAATGGTGCGATCCATTCAGAATTGTATGGTGTAACTTTATTTGTCTTGGTGTATGAAATCGCATGCGATTATCTGTCTTCAACTATGATTCTGTGAACAGGCATGATTATGTAT